CATTGGGAAGCAGCAGAAAAAAAAATAACTTGAAATGAATCACAGGACTTTATAATAGAGGAATCTAGGAGACACTACCTTGACTATATGATGGAGGTTATTAACCACAGTGATTGGTCATAAAAGCAAGAGACTAAAAACCATATAGAACAAACAAGACTAGGAAGCCATGATAACCCAAATCCAGTGTTGGGTCATCCAGAGCAGACATTGGAACTTAAAAGGGGCTAATATTTGGGCCTGGCACATTATCCTGGTCACTAAAGTCCTTGACTTGCATGTACAAAGATCCCATATGGTTATTGATGGCTCAGCCTGGCTGTTGCGGCCACTTGAAGAGTGAACCAGCGGATGGAAGATCCTTCTCTCTGTCTCTCCTTCTCTCTGTAAATCTGACTTTCCAATAAATAAATAAATCTTCTTGGGGCGGGGTGTTCTTTAGAATCTCATCTGATCATGAGAAAAATAGCAGACAAATCCTAAGAAATACCTGACTCACACTTCTTAAAACAAAGAAAGTCTCTGAAATTTCCACAAGTAAGAAGAGCCTCAGGAAGCGTAACTACTAACTCTAACGTTTTCCTTGATGGAATTTTAGAATATAAAAAGAAAACTTGATAAAAGCTAAGAAAGTATGAATAAAACATGTAATTTGGTTCATGAAAATTTATCACTATACATTAATTGCAGAATATGTAACATATTCTGATAAGACATTAATAGTAGAAGAAACTGGGTATAGAGTATACAAGGTGAATTCCTGTATCATCATTCTAATAATTCTATAAATCCAAAACTGTCCTAAAACAAAAAGGCCATTTATTTAAAAAGAAAGAAAAAAAAAAGGTGGAAATACTGGTGAAATCTAAATAAATGTAATTGCCAGTAATAACATCTTAGTGTTAGTTCTTGGTTTTGACCATGTATCATGGCAATGGTTATATAAGCTATTGATATTAGGGAAAACTGGGTAAAATGTTTATGAGAACCCTATCAATTATCTCTTAAATAAAATCATATTTTAAAGTTAAAATATACACTAGAAGATTTATTTTCTAAAGGGGAAGAAATATTTCAAAACTTCTTAAAATATACGTGACTACCAGGATATGAAAAATGTTCACCAAAAAAAGGTAATTTAAAAACAAGAGAAGGGGGACCCAGTGTGATGGCAGCTCAGTTGCTAAATCCTCGGCTTACATGCGCTGGGATCCCACACGGGTACAGGTTTGTGACCCGGCTGTTGCACTTCATCCAACTCCCTGCTTGTAGCCTAGGAAAGCAGCAGAGGACAGCCCAAAGCCTTGGTACCCTGCATCGAGGTAGAAGATCCAGATGAGGATCCTGGCTCCTGGCTTCAGAATGGCTCAGCTCTGGCCATTGAGGCCACTTGGGGAATGAACCAGTAGATGAAAGAAGATCTCTCTTTCTGTCTCTCCTTTCTTAAGTAAATCTGCCTTTCCAATAAAAATAAATAAACCTTAAAAAAATGTGAGCCCAACATATCCATTAGAACAGCTAGAATTACAATGGCATACATTTGCTTCACAATGACAGGGTTAAAACTCCACTAGGTGAAGATTTCAACACATAGCAAGCAGGGAAAAATAACAACAAGATCTCTTAAATGAAATAGATAAATCTTTGAAGTTTCACTCAAGAAATAGATAACTTGGGTCCAATACAGAGAGCCCAGTGTTGATGTGAACTGCGTGGCATTTACCAAATTCCATGACATACTCAAGGTGATGAGGACAACTGATGACAGAATAGCTCATGAGTTAAACACCACAGTTTCAACAGCTTCCTTTGCCGGGCAAATTGATGCTAGCCAAACCTGTAAACAACTTTGAGCCTGATGGCAGCTCATGCCAGCAGGGATAAGTGTCATAAAAAAATTGTATAGCCCAGACCTCAGGAGCAGTAAGAAACCTCCTACAAGAAAGAGAAAAGAATTTGGATTTATTTTCTAAGAAATAACAGTGTTGAAATGGATGTAGTTAGAGCTAAAAAAATTGAAGTGATACATGACAGAAGTTGGAAGGCGTTTAATGAGTGCGATGAATTTACTTCAAGCCTCATAAGAATGAATAAAGCCAGATGAGTTTTTGTTAAGGACCACGTCATCTCACGAGAGGTAAGCACAATGGGCATCAACAAGGCAGGCTTCCTAGAAAGACTTCTGACTCGACAGTCTAACACTTTTTGATGATCTCAGCCCCATTTAGCCAAGACCTCAAGTATAAGTAATTCTGATAATTATGTAGAAAACAACTAACTGCTATTGTAGGTTTATTTTATAAAAAGAGATATTTGGGAAAGTAAAATTTTGATACAGAAAGAAAAAAAAGTAGATAAGTAAAAAACCCTGTAACTCCTAAAGAAATTGAATTTCTGTGCTAATAATTCCCCACAAAGAAAACATCAAGCCCAGATGATGACAGAAGTAAATTCTACAAAACTCAAGAAATAATTCCAATTATTTAACTATTCTTTTCAAAAATAGAAAACAAAGAAACTTCCCCCCAAAACTGAGGCCAGCATAACACAAAACAAAAACACCAAATTACCAAAGAAACAAAATTATAGACCAATATTCATTATGAATATATAAACATATGTGTGTAAAAATCTTTAACAATCTGAATCCAGTGACATGCATAAAAATGATAGTTTATCATAAACAAGAGGGCTCTTCCTAGGAATGCAAATATTAAGCAATAACACTCAAATATCAAGTGAAGCATATCTCTATTAAACTAAAAGATAAAAACACTTATGTCAAAAAAAGACATATAACCCTAACCCTAAAAAATAAAAAAACACATATGTAAAAACTCACGATGACAACAGCAGACATTTCATAATATAATTAAATGTCAAAGAAATAGAATATAATGTGAGAAAGTGCCAAGTCTTTGAGAATCACCAAGTATAAATCCAATTATTTTAAGAGAGAGTCACTCAGAAGTAAAAAGAGGCCATCTTGGAAGTTAATCTGATTTCTTCCAAAATCAAAGAAAAATTCTCACCGTGTTTTACTTAAGCTCTCACTGTGTTTTACTTAAGCTAAAGATAAAATTAATTCCTATACACTGAAAATACTTGGGTTGAAGTATAATCGCTTTAGGTTGATTTAGAAATGGAATGGGAAAAAGAGATAACAGTAAACATTACAGGTAGATGGCATTATTTATTCCTCAAGAGGAGACAAGTAAACCAAATTCTCTATAAGTCAAACAGTTACAGTAAAGTTGTTCTCTTCTTCAATTATAAAAGGACATTATATTAGAAAGATTCTTAAATTCAACAAATATTTGTTGAGTACCTATCAAATATATTTTTAGATGTTGAGGTTGTAGTAACAAAAAAAAAGGAAAGATTAAAAATTTCTCCTTTCACACAGATTAGAGAGACAGAAAACTACATAAAGCTTACACCATGTAAAAAAAATAGTAAGTACTGTATAGAAAAATAAAACCCGCAAGGGGACACAATGCACAGGATGGGGGAGTGGTCATTTTACATGGGGTTAATAGGGAAGTAGATGATTTCTAGGTTCACTTTCAGTTCAAAACCCAGTGATTTTCTTCTGTGTTCACAGGCAGCAAAAAAACACACAGTGAACCTCTGAGCCTGACCTCTTTAAGCTTATACATTCTATCACCTTGTTCTGTGTGTCACCACTTATATTTTAGAAAAACAGGACTAAACACACATTTTTTTTCACACTGAGACAAAGCATAAGCTGTCAATTAACGAAACAAGTAGTTACCCAGTTCTGCCTTGGAAAGAAAACACGAAAAATAAAAGCCAGCAATTTTTATCTAGGCAAAGGTAGTATTTTTGTATATTACAGAAAGGATTAAAATTCGCTAGTTTTTCTTTCCTTCCAGTAAAATTATGTTCTAGAATTTGGCCCTTTAATGTGTCTAACTTATAATAAAAGGTAGTTTACCAGTATCTTTGGGATGAAAGATTTTGCATAGACAAGGAAAATCGTGAACAAGAATGACTAATGTCGTTATTGCAGCCACTATATTTTGAATGCCTGTTACATTTCAGGTCAACACCAGTAAATATTAGGCTGCCCTACATTAACATTATTTACAGATCAAAATCAGCAATTTTATATAGTGGGAACTAATCATTTACAGTTTTGTGAGTCTATATGGGCTAATTCTGTTGCTTCAATTCTCCACTTACACAAATCTTCAAGGTAACAAGGAACTTTTGTTTGGGAATATATAGGCACTCTGCCATGCTGACAGCTCTACAAATGACAACTGGAAGATGGCTACCTATTTGACTCAAACAAACACATTCTTAATTTATCTAGAACTTCACTAGAAAATCTGAATTATAAGTACCATAATCTAGAGCACAAATTTTATCAAAAGCTTTTCATAACTGTACGGCTTCTATTAAGAAAAGCTCAATTTATTAGTTATATATGTCATTCTGCTTAAAAGATAAACTCTCGGTTCTGGAACTGATTTTTTTTTTATTTAAACTAGGAAGAGTATAGAGCAGTCCCAACTGATAATATTTTAAGTTTATCCACTTGGGTTGGGATTTCTATTTCTTTGGAAATGCCTCAATAATACAGCACTTCCCAAGAGAGAACACTGTCCCCAAGCCAGACTATTGAGCTCTACCCAAGTCATTTTTAAATATAATTCTTAAAAGTGAATTGTTCTGTGCAGTTTATTTTTGTTCCTCCTGACAGTTACTTTCCCTTCACTACACAATTCATGTTTAGAGTTCACACTTGTAAGACATTGATGAGATAGTCCATTAATTATCTTCTAAGAAACTGCATGTTATGATATTGAAAGCTGAGGATGTTTACGTCCAACATTTAAATGTCAACAATAGCATTCCATGAAACATCATTAAATGGTAACAAGTATCTAAGGTTACTGAGCAAAATTAATTCAAAAACAGCATAATCCCCTTTAGTGAAAAAGGAGTTCAAACAGGTAAACATGAAAACCTACCAGCTCATTGCTTGTAGATGTGAGTCTTAGTTTTTCTTCAATTTCCTTTCCAATTTTCTGAACAGTTACCTGAGTCTGTTTAATTGCACACTGGGCTCTATGAAGCCTAGAAATAACAAGTTGTAAAGAAATTTAAGTGAGTTAACTACAAACTCAACCCAGAGTGATAGACAGAAATGACCAACCTCCCAGGACAGACAAATTTAATGATGAACCCAAGCTGTTTTTCAATTCACCAGTATGCATACAATGAAATAATGGGGATTACAACAAATCCTATAAAACAGCCTTTCCTTACTTTCTTGCTTGCTTCTCGTGTAGTGAGCTAGAAGACATCACCAGAATCTGGCACAGCCCTTAGAAATAACATGGTCAGAACTTGTTTTACATATGGAAGTAGACTATCGCCACTACAAAGGCTGACTTTTAATTATTGGCATCAATGGGGAAAATCAATGTTCACAATAATTCCGAGTTATGAAGGTTCAACCAAAGCAACCATCACCCTGAAACACTTAAGAAAAAAGCAAACACCTGAAGGTACTAAAGACAAGGGTACAGGACTTAAATACTACAGGGACTTCAGTTGCAACCACAACCTCAGCAAGGACACTGAAAACACACAGCTATTTTTTCTGTTTTGCTTTAGCTATAATTTTGTGGGGATTTTGCTTTTCAGTCTCTTCATCTTTGCTGAATAGACTTACATGCTGTGAGTATGACTCAACAGGGTCATTAATTCCTATGCATGGACCTTTGTATTTTCTATTAACATTATCATACAAAGAATCATACACACAATACAGATGGATTTCAAAAAATATTATTTTAAATAAAAACATTCCAGAAACAAACAAACAAAAAAAGTATGATTGTATGATTCCATTTATACAAGCCTCAAGAAGAGGTAAAAGCAATCACAGATGACAAAAGTATCAAGCTGCCTGGGTGGGACGGGATGGGGGTGGAGGCATGCAGAGATAAAGTTTTAGAGAACAAAGGAACTCCCTAAACTGATGAGAGTGCTCTCTTTTTTCTTGTTGTTTAAGATTTGTTTTATTTATTTGAAAGGTAGAGTTACAGAAAAAGGGAGAGAGGAAGAGTGAGGAAAGTGGGAGAGACATCTTCAAATCACTCCCCAAACTGCAGCAACAGCCAGGCTAAGTCTGTGCCAGACCCATGACAGGAACCTTGAACTCCATCTGGGTCTCTCACATGGGTTGCAGGGGCCCAACCACTTCTGCTATTTTCCCAGGCACATTAGCAGGGAGCCAGATAGGAAGCAGAGCAGCTGGGACTCAAACAGCACTCACATAGCATGCCTGCCGGCACTGTAGGTAGAGGCTTATTCTGATGTGCCACAATGTCTGCACTAATGATCTATATCTTGACTAGGGTGAGCATTTATGCTGAACAAAGAATATGAGATTATGATCTGCATATTGCACTGCGCATAACTTCTACTTCTATATTTAAAAGTTGGCCATCAATCCTAATCTGAAAGTCGAAACATATGTGGGAGGTCCATGTTATTGAGGATTTGATGGTATCAATATTTCTGCCAACTTAATTATTAATACCACACACTAAAATACTAATGACTTACTGCTGCTGTTTTGGAAATTGCCTGATAGCTGAGGATTTCTTGGGCCATCTAGAACAGATCAACTCTTATTAAAGGTGCTGTGTGCATTAGATCCGTAATTCAACAACTTCTCCAGGCTATCTAAGGATTCCAATAGAGAAGATAATCCTCTTGCTCTGGGTATGCACATGTATAGAGCAGCTCTAAAGAAATGTTAAAGGAAGAAAGGCATTCTATGATATGGTCCCTACCTGCATCTACAAATATAACTTCCTGATATTCTTGACCTTGAACCCTAAACTCCAGCAATATTGACTTACTGGTAATTCTCCAGACCTGTCATGCTACTTCTTGCTTTTGTACCTTTCTGTAAGCTGTTCAGTGTACAAGTTTTTCTGTCCCTTAACAGGTAAGTAAACTCCTGATCCAGTAAGAGACACCTGAAACATAACCTCTGCTCCGAAAGCCTTCCCCAACTATTCCCGATGGCAGAAACATACCATCCTCTGGAAATCTACCACAACTTGTATGTGACACTGTAACAAATACAACAGTACTTCAGAAAATTTACGCAACAAGTAACTTAAAAATATGCTTAGTTTTAGAGTAAACTAAGTACTTTAAGTACTCTCATATAAGTCAACCTTATTCTTTACAGTAACTCCTTATTTCTCTGTTTCTTTAATAGACATTTCTGGGGGGGGGGGGTTTAACCTTGATCTTTCCCTATGACCTCCAAAGGCTAATTAATAGAGAATGTGTCACAAAGAAGGCACTCAAAATCCATTTGCTGCCTAATGTTTGAAGCTAACATCACAGCACAGTCCCAAGATGTGCGGGATTAATTGATAGATCAAATGATAGTCTTCCTAATTTAGAAATTTAAAATATTATATCAAAACTAATTATCACATAATACATACTACTATGTGATATTTATTCAGGTATAAAACAAGCACTTTTAAGTCAACACTAAAAATGATCAGCATTATCAACCCAGAGATCAACAAAAATAGCCTGTTACTTTAAAAGTAGGAAAGAGCAGCCTCAAACCTCACTGGTACTATGCAAACAACCTTGTCAAATGGTAAAGACTTTAAAAATAAAAATGATTCATGACCATAATTAATGTATGACTTCAACTATTTGGCTCTCACTGCCCCAGACGCTTTCTGATCTTACCTTAGGGGCTTAAAACACACAGACAGAGTCACATTTCCTCCAATCTTCAGTGTTATCCAAATACACTCTCAGAGCCCCTGCAACATCAAGACAGAACTAATAATGTCCCCCTTTCAAATCCAACAGGAGAATAAAAGTCTGAAGTGTTTAGGCTTCTAAAAATAACATAGGACATCCTAATTCTCCAGGGGGTATGGAGATGAAGGACTGACAAGAAAAGAAACTGCTTTGCCTCCAAACTGGTTAGCCAGTTTCACAGGAATGTTTCTTGATTTTGCAACTATGATAAGAATTTGTAAAGAGAGTCATATTTGCCATCTAGTTACATGGGTGAGTGCTCAATACCAACACTAGCCCTCTCAAGCTGAAAGAAAACTCATCACCAGCACTGAGGAAGAAAGATGAAGTAGCTGCCTGACAGTATTCTGGTGACAGCAAATAGATACATACCTAATGCTAAACACAATTTCAGATAACAGTAAATTGGCTTTAAAGAAAGTTCTTTAAGATTAGATACTGCTGGGAATGTAAAAATATGTTGAATAAACAGTATTATGACATATAAATATTCATAAAGATCAGTTGAGATTGTACAAATCAGATATGAAAAATACAAGAGATGTTGCAAGATAATTACTGTCTAGGTAGTATTGATCATAAAAGTCAGAAATGCTTCATTCAAGAGTTAAAGATGGAGAATGACAAATCGGAACACCTACAAAGGAATGAAACGTTCCCTATAGCTTACAGGCAGAGAAGAAAATCCAGGAAACATGAGCCTATTGAGACAAACACCCACACATACTTGATAATCAATGGCTTTTTATTCCATATGAAGGAGCTTGAATTTTATTCTGAAGTCCTTAGGAAACCATTGCAAACTTTAAAGCTGGAGAATAATTACATTTGCACTTTAGAAAGGTCTTCATTCTCATAATGAGGAAAATGGGACAGAGAGGAAAAAAAGACTACAAACAGGAAGTCTATAAGGTTACTGTCACAGTCCAAACAGGAGACGATACTGTCCTAAATTAGAATACTGATAGGATACAGCATGCAGAAATAAAAAGGGTGGAATGCATGATATAGAATGTCAGCATTGTGGTGAAGCAGATTAAGTCACCCCTTTTGACACTGGTATATCAGAGTGCTGGTTTGAGTCCTTGCTGCTCTGCTTCTGCTTCTGCTTCAGCTTCAGCTTCCTGCTAATGCACCTGGGAAGGCAGCAGAAGATGTCCAAACGCTGAGGTTCCTGGATTCTGGTTTCAAGCTTCCACTTGGCTACTGTTGGTAGCAGCTGTTTGGAGAATTAACCAGTGGATGGAACTTCTTTCTCTTTCTGTATCTCCCCCTCTATTGCTCTGCCTTTCAAATAGGCAAATAAAATAACTTTTTTGAACACAGAGAAAACAATATGGGACATGCATTTGATGTTGAAGTTAAGATACCACATGGAACACTTGCACCCTAGAACAGTACCTGTCTCATGTCCTGCTATGCTCCTGATTGAACCAACAAAACCACAACATAGGAACTCATACTCCATTTCTCTTCTAAATAAATACAATAGCAAACAATTTTAAAAAGGATCTTGTCTGAAAACAAAATCACCAACACCACGATGAAAAAGAACACATTACAATAAATCTAAATGACATTTAAAAGAAATTGAAGGGACAATATGAACATTCTGTACCAATAAATACATCTTGAAATAGTCAAATTTCTTTAAAAAGTCAAAAGCTTCCAAAAAAACTAGAAAATATGAAAAATCATTACTTATCAAAGAAATTAAATTTGTAATTAAAACCCTTCTCACAAATAAAACTCAAGGGCTGGATGGTTTCACTAGTAAAATGCCAGTTGCATCAAAAATCTCAGAGAAGAGGAAATACTTTCAAGACAGTGGGAGCTACGTGAGACTAAACAAAACAATGAAATATAATTTGGATGATACAATCAAATTCATTTGTATATAATCCATTTATCTTTATATTAAACAAATCTTTACCTCTACCTCATCTCACACACAAAAATTAATTTGGCTTGGATTAGATGTAAATGCAAACATAAAAATCATGAAGCTTCTAGAAAAACATGTAAGAAAACGTATCTATGTCCCTGGATTAGACAAGGATTTCCTAAACGGGATTCATCAAAATGAATTACTGACAAAATGGAAGAGGGAAAAATAACTGAGAAAAAACATTCCTTAAAGAAGTACAAATCAACAATAAAAATATAGCCAACACAATAATTAATGAGCAAAATATTTAAGCAAACACATTTGAAAAAAATATATGAGAATGGTGGATAAGCACCTCAAATGGTGCTCAGCA